ATGTGGGAACACATCATGCAGGACAGTGCAGCATATACTTGCTTGGTACTTTTGCAAAATTTCAAAACTGGAAATTATTACATGTGACCTAGACCAAGCTCCAAAGTGATTTAACAAATGAGTCACAGAAAATAGAATATTTCTATCGACTATCCAAAGGCCACTGAAAATTATGCAAGATTTTGAAAGTTTCAGCTGAACTGATCTATACATTCTTGCAAACATGTCACTGATTTCTTATGTGAAAGGCACTGCCTGAAATTAAAATAGTTTCTGAATGGAACTAACGGTGTGTTAAAAACTGCATAGTCTCATATCCAGAATATTTAGAAATGTTCACTTATGACTCCACAGTGTAATTAGCTGAAGAACATTGAGATGGAAATGTCCCTTGATAAAATTTCAAGTGGTGCATGATTTTTCACTGTAAACATGATTATGGGGGAACACATACCATGTTGCCACATCACTCTCAAATGTAATATGTTTACTGCAAAAATTATGTATCAATGTAATTCTATCAAGTGATCTTTCCAACTTAATGTTCTTCACAGAAGCACACTGTGGTGTCAGCAGTAACAAATTTCCAGACGCTCTGCATGTAAGTCTGCCAAAAGCAATAATTATGTAATACATATATTCCATCACACTCATCCTAAACAGTTCATGTAACCAGATATCTGAACTATAATGTTAACAATCATATTCATAATAGTCAGTCTACCTTAGATTTAGTTATGTTACTGTCTTTCAGTTTTTTCTGAACTAATGTGATTAAGAAACTGGATACATCTTGAAGCTGAAAGGTACTGATCAGAGATAATTAGTGTCCTTATTCTCTTTCTAAATGTATGTTACACAATAACATCAGTCACACGCTAAAGTATAAACTAGTCCATCTGCTGTACAGGAATTCCAAACCAAACAAGAGATGGCATCTCTGTTGCATTTCTTCATTATGACCCAATTCCATAAATGACAAGGGCTGACGTTAGAATATTATATCTTGTCTCAGCATAAGAATTGTCTAAGGTAAATGTACCGAACATCACGACATGCCTTATTCCATGGTATAACTCTAAATCCACCAAGAAATTAAGTATGCATTCCACTCTCGAGCCAGAAATGGGGAAGTGGTAGAACAATCTGTGGACCATCATGATGAATTTAGAGTGTTCAACATGAAATAATGTATGTCATAAAGCTGGACAGGTTTACCTTATAGAGCAAAATTTTCTTCAAGCAAAAACAAAAATAAAGCAGACAGTTTCAAAGTAGGGATCTCTTATCAGAGAGAAAAAAAAAACACTGACAAAAGCAGAAGGTAACTTCAAGAATACCAGAGCAATGAAATTTCTTTACAAATTTTTTTGTCAAGCTGGCAACTGCTTATTCAGAATGTAAATATGAAATATCTCTGTTACTGCCAGTGTTTCTGATTGTTCTTACTTTGCTAAATGCTGAAAATTCTTTCAGCTACCTCATTTATTCATACATTGCCTGTATTAAGTTTTGCCCTTCAACAGTACATATTTGAAACAAATAGCATAAAATACAGGTTGGATATGAGGTTCTAGCAGAGGTGATTATGAAGAGTGCTATCTTCTGTGATGTGACATCATGTAGTCTAGTAGAAGTTCATTGATATTTTCGTGGAATGTATTGCCTCCATCTTCAAGGTTGAAGAGTAAGTCAGGCAGCACACACTGTTTGCCACCTGCTTCTTGCTCGATACTTGTCTTCCTCTTCAACCCTGAAGATAGAGGCCGAACATACCACTGAATCATCAGTGAACTTCTACCAGACTACACAGCATCATATCTCAGAAGATAGTACTCTTTACAAAATATATGTGGTTTAGGATAGATTTATTTTTCAATAAAAACCTTGTTTACAAGAAACCATTGATTTATTTGATAACATAACTAATCAAATGAAATAACTGTGAACTCATTGAACCCAACAGTGGCTTATGACATAATAAATTGAAGCTTTTGCTTCTAAGCTCACACAACAGAATACTTACCGATAGTATAAAACTGATTTTTAGTAACCTCAGTAGCATAGTTTGTTTAGAGAAGTTTTCCTGGCATGTTGAGACACTGCACACAGACAGCAGTGTCCTGAAAAAACATAAGAAAGACAGCATAAAGCATTTCATGCACATTAAGAGCATTTCTCAGCCGATGTTAAAAAGTGACTGATAAAATTATTTGAAGACTCAAGTAGTCTAAATAATGTTAAAAAATTCAGTTCATACCTCACAGGAAACACACTATATCTACATTATAAAAACAAATCAGTTATGTTATATTTTAGCGTCCTGTTGCACTGATTTAAGTCCATGATTTATTTAATCCGTCTTGCAGTGCATACACTCATTTAACTCCTTCTCTCCCTCGCACTACATGTTTCGGCATAATAATGCCATCTTCAGGTGCTTACTTATCCACGTCAAACCAGTTCATTGCATGCCATGTTCACACATTAAAATAACTAAAATATGTATCTATCATATACATTGTCAAACGTTAAAATATTAAAATTGTTCAGGATACCACATCGCTACGTCGCCCCTCACTACGTCAGTCACGCCCATTCTCCTTTGTTGGAGCACTCCTTCACTATTTTGTGTGTTGTACTTTTGTTGTGTCGTGCTCCTGCGACTGCGTGTGTTATACTGTTGTATACTGTTTTAATGTGTGAACATGGCATGCAATGAACTGGTTTGACGTGGATAAGTAAGCACCTGAAGATGGCATTATTATGCCGAAACATGTAGTGCGAGGGAGAGAAGGAGTTAAATGAGTGTATGCACTGCAAGACGGATTAAATAAATCATGGACAAATCAGTTAATTCAGTTTAGTGAAATAACTGCCGATTATTGAGAGACTCATAAGAAACACCTAAATTATACTGTGTGAACAAAATGAAGAGTTTCTTAATGTTAAAGGAGATGGTACATATACAGCAACCACTGTGTTTTAGAGAGTTAATCTATCTTCCAATTATAAAAAATACATGTTTTACATGAGTGAAACATGAATTTTAAAGAACTCGTTAAAACTTTTCTACTGAATTATGGGTCATGTTATTCTGCAAATGTTTGTTTAGACAAAGAATGGTATATAGTGTGATTTAAATATTGAGTATAAATGTTTGCTTAATTCAAAATAAAACTGTATCAAAAGTTTTGTTGCCAACTCACATTGGACCTAAAGAATAGTCACAAGTATAATATTTAAATTTGGCATTAAAATCATAAACCGAGATGAAAACTTGATACAAATAACTCTTACTGTTTAACAAATGAAGTGGAATTCTGGCATATACCTGCAGCTGTTTTAATAGTTTCTTCCACTGCATTCAGGAAAAAGTAAAACAGAACTTGTTATTATTGAGTTTTTGAACTTGTCTGTCAGTTAGTACTGCAAACAGAACATGACATTTAGGAAACTGGATCAGAGTCTGTCCTCAGGTGAAAAGATGTGGCTGGCTCCATCAGAAAGAGCTGGATTAGGTCCAATGATTGACATTAGCTTTCCCTCAAGGACCAAACTAAGGTGGCATAACAACTTGTCATCTGAAGATGGAAATAAATCCAGTTTCTGAACTGTAGTGTTCTGTTAGAAATACTAGATTATGGAAGACATCCAGAAACCCAGTAATACCAAGTGTAACACAACCTCAGAATAAGCGACAGAAGCTCAACTTTAACACAAGTCACTCTGTATGCTATCAGTAGATATACAACTGGGTTGAGAAATGCTGTGTTAATATATTTTTGTAGCTTTTGTTTTATTTTATACAGTACCACATATTGTAGATGAAACCTATTTGAGCTTTAAGCCATTGAAACGAGTTTTTGTAAGACAAGATTTGTTTTGTCAATTTGATTCACAGTATTAAACTTATTTTATATAGTCTGGTATATAAATAGCTGAAACAGACAAGAGACAACTCTACTCAAGTGCTGTTTCAAAACCCATCAAATAGATTTGTAAAATAATAATAATAACAATAATAATAATAATAATAATAATAATAATTATATGTATACCCAAACATAAGTGGGCATAATACTGTCACCACAATTACATATCTGTTATATAGTACTTCTTCAGCAGAGCTGTTTACTGTCCTGAAATCAGTACAACAGCACTGCCACTCTGAGACTTGGATCATATTGCATTATTTCAGCATCAGTTTCACTTTTATGCCAATTTGTAAATATAAATTTTGTGGAAAGATATGAAACTCTTTTCATATGTCTACAGGCCCAGTACAGTATTTCAAAATTTTAACATCTGCAGCAAATATAAAATGTATATATAAAGATTTTAAATGCTTTTGACACTGATGATAAAAATCAAGAATACGCTGTTCCACAGTTTTTACTTAATTTAAATATTGCACCACTGGTCATTATGTGAAATGGGATTACACACCTTATCTATACTGTGAAGAATACAAAAGATTCAAATACAATAACAGATCCATGATTTATACATGATCACAGTATGTTTTATTTATGCACTACTTAACAGTGCTCCCAGTGACTCATATATAGCATCAGATGGTAGGAAGATTAGCAGATAAGCACTGGAAGAAAGCAGTTGTACCCTAATCTGGGGTGCTATTCTGGCATTACACAAAAATATTCAGTCAGGACAGACAGTCTTAGGGAAAAAATTTAATCTTAGGATCACCTGAATATAAAGGAGTGCTACTCACTTGTCCAAGATATGGCACAACAGATGTAATGTGGTATTATATCCAAAATCTGAACAAGAACTCGGTTCAATGTTTTAACTAAGTTATGTGATCTGTAGTTCACTATCCTTAGGCTTATTACCATACATAGATTTTAAAAGTAAAAATTTTAAAGAATATTTTATATACTAACTATTTTTTACTATTATCATTATTATTATTGCTAACACTCTTAGTGTTGACATTAACGGAGTGTAATTGCCAATTTTATTTTGTTCTTTTATAGGCCCAGACATTCTGTAATTGTGTAAGTTTGTACAGCGGAACTGTGTGTTACATGTCTTGAGAGGCGCACAGCCTATGTTGGCATGTCTGTGCACAGAATGACAGAAATACTGCTTCCAAGATACCATGCTTATATAGCATCTCAAAATTTTAGTTTTGTGACTGACAAATACTTTGAGTACTCCTGAAATCTATTGTTTGTTTTCAATCAAACAGAATCAGTATATATTATTTAATATTTCAAACTTTTACTGTCAGTAAATGGAATGAAGTTCTTGGCTACAGATCCAGAGGTCCGGATCTGATTCCTGGCGCTACCGGAATTTTTTCTGAGAAGTAGTGGGTCAGGAACGGGGTCCACTCAGCCTCATGATGATAATTGAGGAGCTATTTCAAGGAAATAGCGGCTCCGGTCTAGCAAACCGAAATTAACGGCCATTGGGGTTCATTGCGCTGACCATACAACACCCTCTATCTGCAAAAGCTGGCACTAAACCTCGCTGACAAGCGGTGGTCGCTCAGTCAGTATGAACTGCTTGCAGACTAAATTCACGGAGTTCTTTTTGTTTATTTAAATGGAATGAAGTGTTCTCGGTCAGCCAGAGTCAACATGGGAAAGCATTTCTAAAGTTTTCAAAACTGTTACTGTGTCCATCATCAGGGACTGATGTGAATGGCACACTAAACTTTATTCCTAAGCAGTTTGGATCCTGGGGCCCAGTGTCATATCAGAATACATGAAAAAGCAAAATAAATAAGAAAGGAAAATTAATTTAAAGATAAATTTTCTAAAAACATATAACTATTTATAAAGCAAATTGCTGTCTCCTCTTCACATTTACCGTTCTCTTTAACATGAATATGTCATCCTGCTCCTGTCTCTTGGTCCTAGACAATGGACATAGTTCTGCAAGTGTAGGAAGAAAAGGGAGCAAAATACCTTTGTTGTTTCATTAAGTTTTCTATTTCAAAACCAACATCCTAACATTCTTAGGCAAAATCACAGTTCCAACTACAAACCATAAAATTATACACCAAAGACATGAAGTAATTATCACTACCCTATGATTTTATCCCTGTAGAGAAACCCATACTCAGAATAATGGATTTAAGTTCATATTCATAAACTGAAAACAATATCTTTTTTGGTGGATATGAAATAAATGGAAGCAGAATTTCTTTTTTCTTATCTCCTCCCCTCCCCCAAAAGAAGACTGTGTCTTACACAGTCCTGTGAACTGCAATGCCCCACCCCCCATGTAAAGTCTGATAATGACGTGTTCTGTTACCTGGCCTGCACTTCACCTCCCTAGAATATGGGACACTGCCTGTTATGAAATAATATCTATTCCAGAATGGCATGGTACATGTCAGTTTCTGGTCACTGTTTCACAAGTTTCCACTTGTGTGGCCATTTATGACATTGATTGACTGTCCATCAGAAACAATGTACAATCATGTCTTAAATGTCCAACAGATGGTGCAAACAGGACCCTTGAAATTGTCTTCTAGTGCAAGTGTGCTGGTGATTGATAAACAGTAATATGTACATATATATAACAGTCACAGGCATAAGTGTTTAAATTGTCTGAAGGCTATTTCATTCCCATGTTCACTGCTATACCCCCATACTGTGACTTTACCTGCTAGACCAACCATTTTTCTATGAAAACTGTTTTCTAAACTTACTACACTCAACACAGAAATGGAACAGAAGAAGTGAAAAACAAATGACAATCTCTGTATGTTTTGACACTTCTGACTTTTGACAAGCTACACTTAAAGTTCTTCTGCATTTCAGAGACATCTACATAAGATAATGACATATTGGGACAAAACAAACTACTCCAAATCAAGTGAAAAGTCTAGCAGTGAATGTGGTAATATTAGCTGGCATTCCATTCACAATAAACACATACTTTCCTTATAAAATCCGATAAATGTAAAATGCACTAAACGATATAACTTTATCACTGCAGTTTGAATTGAAATGAAACAACAAACTGGAAAATAAAAAACAAAAATGACACCCACCAAATAAAGTCATAATGCAGGTTGTTCTACATACATATCAGTGATGGCAAACTCAGTTACGGTGCCAGTAATTACAGCATTAAGTTTTCTCAATTAATGCGATTATCATGCATCATAAAATCCTAAATTGTGTCCGAAACATCCCTGACAGGGCAACATAAGCAGCTACTTATGTAGATCATTATTTCATCATTAGAAAGTAACTAAATTCTATTCTCAATATGCGATGGGAACCAAAATCGTCATACACGAGTTCTCAATGAACCCACAAGACTTCTGCTCTATAAAGTTGCCTACTCAAGGTATGACACATCTTCAAAGATGTTTTAGACAGACAGCCACATTGCCATGTGTCTCTCACAATAATACTGTAAATTTACAATTCTTCCATTTCGAAGACAAGAAATGACACACGATATTTAGGATTCTCAGAGTGATGGTTTTATGGAATGTTATACTGTATAGTTTGGTAGATGGGTACAAATGTGCCAAAGGAACCTGCTACCTCCATCTTTAAGGGCACTCTTCTACCCTAAAGATGGAGTCAGCAGGTTCTTCTGAAACTTTAGTATCTAGCTAGAAAACTACACAATATCACAGTGCAAAAAGACTGTAATCTTACACATAAAAAAAAGCAGTTTAGCTGTTAAATTTATCATTGTTTAGTATTTAAACAATGCATTTTTTTGTTTGCCATCACTAACTAACCTGTTCAAATGTTCAGAGCTGACTTTACTGTGACAAATTCTTATTAGTGTCTTACAATTAACAAGAAATGTTGAAAAGTTAGTTGTGACTCAAGGTAAGAGGTTAACAACTATACTGCTCTGTGAAAATGTTGTGTGAAAGTGCAGACAACCAAATAAATCTGTTTTATAATACCTATGCCAATAATAAACTTTGCCCTTCTGTCGAGTTGTCATGTAACTAGCTCTGCCTCATGTGGAAACTGTGACCAAGTTTTCTATTGCAGGAATTTAATGCTGTGTTTCAGAAACAATAAAAATAATTCTGTTGTGGTGTGGTCTGTGGAACACTTTTCAGAACCACTGTGCATGTTCTCAGTGAAGGATCGTTTTAGTTTTCTTTTCGTCCTATTTTTTCCTCATGCCATTAACACACTTATGCACAGTTACTTTAATTTGGGCTGAAGTTTGCGCTTTTGTGTCTGTTCTAAACTTCATGTGGTAAGTGTCATTATATAAATCAAAAACAGAGTTACCATGTATTCAAATATCTTCAGCTTCAAAATTTAAATTGTTACATTTATAACACACAAGTTGTGCTCAAAGGAGATCATCTGAAAACTAGTAAATCATACCAATATAGTTCGGTTTCTTTAGCAATGACTCCAGTTCTCAAGTACTATTTTGGAAGCAAAGTTCTGATTTACTAGGTTATAAATTTAAAAAATTCAGTATAGAATTAACAGGATGATCACAGAAACAGACTCATATCTGAATATTTTCTTTTGCCCATTTTTCTTTAGGGTGGAGGAGAAAGGAGACCCAGAATTTGTTAAGGTGAGTTGGACACAAGTTATCATTTAAACAGAAATCACCACTATTTCTATTGTTTTTATTAATATTGGGTCAGAGAAAGAATGAACATATCTGATGTGGGTTCAAGACAGAAGTCTGCTCCCCCACCTTACTTGCACTGTACACGCCCATTTCATCAACACCCATAACAAACCAAAATGTAACGAGAGAGCATGTAGATGAAAGAAAAGCCACAGTACAAGTGAAGACCAGTGGGAGTGAGAGAAGGCAAACATAAGGAACATAGCAGCTACACCGAAAGGTGGGGAGAATCCTGCATTCATTCTTTCGCTGATGTGACTTCAGACATTTAAATGATTAATACTGTGCAATGGCAGAAATGTTGCTCCCAAATACTATGAAGCCAGCTAATTTTTAATATTTCATGCAGCGTCAAGAACAAAAGTCATCTGCCCTAGATGAGCAGCTTAAAGAATACATTGCAGAATGGCGCAAACAACGTGCAAAGGAAGAAGAGGATCTCAAGCGGCTCAAGGAGAAACAATCCAAGCGCAAGGTGTGGTATCAAGACATCATGCTGTGTTGCAACTTGTTTAAAACTCACATGAAAACAAATTTCAACCCCACATCCCCATACCCCTCGTGTCTTCCTACTCATCTTCTTCTATTATTCTCCTAGCATCATTTCTGTCTTTTAAGGGTTGATAACTGGAAAGTCTCTTAAGTAGATTCTAAAAGGTTCTGATGCTGGTGCATAATATGGCTTACTGGGAGACTTTGTCCATTGTCTGGTATTCTAAAGAACATAAAATAACATAACGTTTCGGAAACTGGATTTGTTTCCATCCTCAGATGATGGGATGGATTGAGTTTAGCTCTTTCTAATGCCAACAGAACAGCTGAGTAGTAAGCCCCAGTGGAAAGTCTCCAATCTCTTCTCTTCTCCCACAACCAGCTGTTTTTTCTCCTCTAAATTCTTCAACCACCTAGCTGAGCTATCTTGCTAATTCTGTATCATCCCATTGGTCACTTTCCTTTAATAGACTTGAAATGATTCTGATGATGGTGTATACTGTACTTCTTTTGGCTTATTTTGGACTTCATCCATCATCTGGTATGTAAAAGACAAAAGACCATGACGTTTCGGAGACTGGATCTGTCTCCATCTTCAGGTGGGTAGGGAAAGATAAACCTACTCAGTTGGGCCCATTACAAAGAGCTAGTCTCAGTCACTGGACAAACCCCGGTCTGTAGAAAAACAACCTATGAACAACTGACAACCAGTTCCATCAGTGGGACAAAAGAATAAAATCACAGTAAAGACATGATAGAAAATTTGTGCCAAGCATGCACATGTCAACAATGTAAAAATACAGAAGTATAGGTTAAATTCCATGAATTTAGTTAAAAACGAAAGTAAAAACTGGATAATGCATGCCTAATCTGTGTGGATAAAGAATCGTGCCACCATGGCGACTTCGGGGAATCAGACTAATCCCTGGAGCAAAACTTGCAGAAGTAGTGCAACCACTGATATTCATAAAAAATTACATTTTTGATTTGTTAACCTCTTCATTGATGAGGGGGATCCATATGGGAGAAATCTCCAAACTGGGTTGGCTGATCGGATTGGTTGAACAAGCCATATGAGCTCTTCTAACTCTATTAACAAATTTTGGATTCTAATTTCTACTACAAAAATTTTATTTCTAATTCTATCCATTCTTTTTTTCCCTTCAGTGACCACTTTCTATACCTGTATAATGTGAATGGAATGGAATGTACTGTAAATGGTACATGCATAGTGAACGGTTTTCTCACAGTATGAGTTAAATAACTAAGTCATCATTGGTCTCACAGCATTATAACCAAAACTGTCTCTAAAACGTTGTTTTCTTTTTAAATAAACAGGAAGGTGTTTTTAGATAAAGACAGGATGATGGATAACATCCAAAAATATAATATCTGTACTAATATACCACTGTCACAAACTTTTAGATTTTATTTACTGTCAATGCACTTGAATAGGTGATGCGAGCTGATGAGGAGAAGCGCATGGCTGAGCGTAAGAAGCAAGAAGAAGAAAGGAGAGTGCGAGAAGTTGAGGAGAAGAAACAGAGAGACATTGAGGAGAAAAGACGACGTCTGGAAGAAGCTGAGAAGAAGCGTCAGGCCATGATGCAAGCTCTCAAGGTAAGGAGGAATTCTGTATTCATATGAATATGCTACATACATTCAGAAAGCAATTTTATGGTGGACATTACATATGTCAATTCTTACTTTTACAGGAACAGAAGCAACAGAAGGGGCCAAACTTCACCATTCAAAAGAAGGATCCATCAGTAAGTAATTGTATACACTTTCATTTAATACATCAAAACACTTAAAATATAGGATGTAATAAGAGACTGGAGAAAATTATATAATCTAAAGCTTCATAACGTGAACTCTTCACCAGACATTATTACAATTAGTCAAATCAAAGAGGATTAGAAGAGCAGGACAGGTATGTAACATGCATTGGAGAGATCAGAAATGCAGTCAAAACTTTCAGCAGAATTGTCTACCTTGAGCCTGGGGGTTAGCATGCCATTAATAAATCCTTACAATAAGCAAAATTAGCATTTTGTGAAATGTTAACATGAGGCCTCAAACCTTCAATATGTGATGTATTACTGAGTGACAATAATTCTCTGTATATTTCCCAGTTCAACTTGTCGTCCGCCCAGATTGAAAGGAACAAGACAAAGGAGCAGCTTGAGGAAGAGAAGAAGATATCACTCAGCTTCCGCATTAAACCTCTGGAGATAGAGAACTTGGGTGTGGACAAACTCAGAGCCAAGGCAACTGAACTCTGGGAAGCCATTGTCAAGCTCGAAACAGAGAAGTATGACTTGGAGGAAAGGCAGAAGAGACAGGATTATGATGTAGGTACCACTGCTTTGGCACAGGAAATGTGCATCTGTAACACTTCAGGCCGATAAACTATGCTTAAAACACTGATAACAGATATCTGTGGGATTGGAATTTATTTCCACTTAGGAGGCCATGATCTGCTGAGTCTTAGGTAGAAATGGTGCAGAAACTGTGATTTGCAAATTTTTGTGAACATATTTAACAGCTGGAAGATACAGATTTTGACCCTACTTAGCATATCTACTGCCATGTCCCCATACTGGGATTTTACTTGCTGCACCAGCCATTTTTTCTACAAAAACAGGATTCTGTACTATTCTGTACTGTACCATATTCAAAACAGAAGTTGACAAGAAGATATGAAAAATAATCACCATCACTTAATGTTTTGACTCTCTTTCAAGTTTCAACAAGCTACATTTAAAGTTCCTCTGTACTTGAGTAACATCTGCAGAGCACTATGACATTTAAATATACAGTAACAGTGTCTATCACGTGATAGGATCTGTACTAGCATGATGTATAAACCTCAACCTATCAGATGATTGAAGAGATGTTGAGTGTGTTTATGTAATTTTTACAGCTTCATGGTATGCTGGTTAATTAACTTCACTTTTACTTCATCAACACAGCATGCAGAATGTATAAGATATTTGAATCATACACAAATTTACCTGTTGTTAAGTATTTCAGAGCATTAAAGATGAGCTCCAAAATTCTCTTGATGCAAGCTACAGAAATTCATACTGTGATGGTAGCCGTATCACATTACTTAGGCTTACTTCTGAAACTGAAGAGTCGGACTATATGCAATTAGCTCTAGCGAAATGTTATTATCTCATGGATGCTACAATAATTACATTGTACAGCCTGCCTAATTTTGTGTCCTGGTTATAAGACCATTAAGTACCAACAGCATTGATCCTGATGCCAAATTCTGTACTCTCATATGTAGTTTTTCATAGCTTTTCATAAGTGCAATATTAACCAGTTCCTAACCTACAAAATAAAAATCCAACAATGAGACTTCTGTTTGAGGAGGGAGGGGGGACATTTCAACACTTTAAAGCATGAAAAAAAAACATACAAAATGGATGAAATTAGAGGAACTTGAAGTTACAGAACAGAGAATATAAGTTGTATACTTCTGTATGTAGTAGTATTTTCATAGGTCTCCTAAGTGCAATCTTAACCAGTTCCTAATTTACAAAATAGAGTTCCAACAATCCGAATTTTTATTTTAAAAGGAAGGAATCCATTTTAACACTTTTAAATATGAATAAAATAAAATAATAAATAAGACAGAGGGAATTAGAAGAATTTAAAGTCACAGGATACAGAAAAAGAACTATTCATTTATAACAGAAACTCATGAAAAATGATTTAGGATTAAGCTACTGAAATTTCTGTTCTACCGTCAGAACATTACAACATCCCTGATACTCCTTGCACATGTATGTAGAGAGAAATACTGATCTAGATACATCCTATATATCATAGTAAACAGGATGTAGGACAAGTCACAATACAATACATCACATTCAGCAAATACCTCGAAATACAGCACAGTTACATGACATTTCTTAGCAACAAAATACACTACAACAGACTAAATCACATGAGCGATAGCACTACTCACTACCGATTATCAGTTTTACGGCACATTAAGGGTAGCTAAAATATGTGTGCACTCATAATGGTGTTTATTACCAAATCCGGCATATAAACCCTGTCCATCCCATGTGTAAATTCTTTGTTGTAGCTGAAAGAGCTGAAAGAGAGGCAGAAGCAACAGCTTAGGCACAAAGCCCAAAAGAGGGGTCTGGACCCAGAGTGAGTACAGAGAAAAACGCATATTATGTTTTGCTTATTACAGTTGAAAGAGCTGAAGGAAAGACAGAAGCAGCAGCTTAGGCACAAAGCTCTCAAGAAGGGACTGGACCCTGAGTAAGTATAGACCAGTGAACCCTCTACATTACCACTAAGAGGAAGCATCAGTACTATGATTTAATTAGCAAGATTTGAGGTTCCAGTGATGGTGAATATTATGATTATGATCTTCTAGAATGGGACTCCATGGGACTTTTGTAGAAAGATACCAATGTTTTGAATTCATCTGCTGCCTCCATATTTAGGGTAAAGAAGTAAACTGCAGGGGAATAAAGTCATACAGGGATAGGGAGGACATTACCCTCTCTGGGGGGCTATTCTAACAGGTTCACTTTTAGCCCCATTCCTTGTTTACCTTTCTCTGACTACTCTTTCCTGCATGGCTTACATTTGGAACCTGAAGGTGAGGGCACCTTGTTTCTCTCAAATGTTGGTAACTGTTTGCCAATTTATAACATATTCATCCAGAAGATCATAATCTTATGGTTTACCAACCTCAACTTTGACACAAAAGAGAAAAATTTTATAAAGACAGATGTCATCTGTAACTTCATAAAGCAGTCCTATGTTGCTTGACCTGAAGCAGGGGTTTCACTGTTTTGCACAATTGCTTTCAGTAATGATGCAGGCATACTGCAATGAAAATAATCAACTTCGTATTCAGAGGTGAACTGGCCAATCTAGAGATTGGAAGAAATTGGCTGGACAGTCGTATATAACTGGTACTAAATAATACCAGGAGCTGAAGTGGGTATGTCATCTGATCTAATTTACAAGCAATGAAATATGCTGGCTACATCACAAAATTATATTCATTTAATATCAATACAAATGCACAACAGAGATTAAAATATTGTGATAAACTCTTAACTCTTTATAGGACAGTGGTAATTGTATGAACAAGTTCTTTAACATCATAGAAGTGTGCATCTTGCCAACACAATGTGTTCCATATGCCTCTCACAGTAAACAGCAATTATCTGCTTTACACCATATTAACTGGTTGATCAATGTAATGGAGATGCAGTGTTTCCTGTAAGGTACGAACTACATATCGTTTAGATCAACTGGAGGTTTTGAAGGTTCAAGAGCGAGCAGGCTATGGTTTCAAGTCTTTCATTTTATAAAAGACTGTTAAGAATTCTTTGGATTAATGAGAAATGTTTTTATATTACTGAACCTGAAACCAGTCCACCTCTGCATCTACAATCATCAGCACACATAATGCTTTGAGTGCACTGCTAAATGCTGTAGATTGCTTAACTGTGAATAAACATGTTGAAAAGCGTTTTTAGAAAATCTTTTTTGGTGGTAGAACATTAACACAAATACTAGGCTAACATGACAGATATGAGTAACAATAAATGTTGTACATAAGAGTGATGTATCCAGGAACACGCGGGGAACACCAATGGTAAGACATTTAGTGACATACAGAATCATTCAATTTTTTAAATACATTCGATTAAACTGTTGATAAAATTTATATTCATGTATGATAGAACATGAAAATTATTACTGGATTTTTAAAAACACAAGAAATGTTGCAGAAGTTAAGAAACACTTTCATAGGATATCTAGAAAAAGATGGAGAGAAATATTAGTATACAGAGCAGCTGGCATTTTAATGTAAGTTTTTGCATTACTTTGAGCCACAGTCTTTATTTATATTTCATTTCCTTGTTTGTTTTATATATGTGTATAATTGGTTTCACCTATCTCCTTTGTTTCAGAGCTCTGACAGGCAAATATCCAGTAAGTACATTTATTTTATTTTATAATTTTTTAATGTATGAGTCTAAATTCTGAGAGTTAGTCATCATAATTATGAACCAGGAGAGTTTAGGCAGTACAGACACAGACTCTGGGCTGTATGACTAGAATCCAATTCCCAGCAGGATTAAAAAATTTTCTCTGTCACTAAGATCATACTGGCTCTGATGTGTCCATCCAGCCTGTCAAATTCACAATGGGGGATCCTTCATTCCAGACAGACAGGCAAGAACATGTCGCTGACTAGTGATATGATCTGATCTTAAGATTACACTGTCATCTGATGTTTAATTAAAAATGTAAAGGATTAGCACCACAGCCCACTATAAGCCTTTGCTTTCTTGTGGAGGTATTGGTCCAGTCTTTCATAACCTTCAGAAACAGAGGGAGGAAAGTGTCAGTTTCACATGCCAGTGGCTTTATTCCCAGTGAAAGAGCCCAAGACTCATTGGACAGGAGGCTGTGTGGACTCAGAGCTGGTCTGGATGCAGTGGTGAAGAGAGACATCCCTGTCCCTGTGGTGAACCCTGACTCTACAATGATCCCATTAGCATAATCAGTAAATTAACTGAGCTACCTCACCTCATAAAATTTTACCTTCCTTCTCCTACTCACCAGCATTAGATAAACTATGAGTTACACAAAACTGATTAAATATAAATATGTTTAGTTCATTATAGACAAAAATCTTTTGCTACATGAACGTCAGATACTACCAGAAACTGTCAACTAAGAGCTTGATAAGTTTACAAGAATGTTTATTATGTAGTGGCACATGAACACATAACAGAAAAAAAGTGCACCAGTAATACTGTTCGGTTATCCTGGCTCCACTTCTACAAGCTGAGGAGAGGGGGAGTTTGTTTTATAACCATTATTTTATGATGCTGTGAGTAGCTAGATTCCATAGTGTCAAATGGTAAGATAGATGAACGATAAATTGAGAGGATTTGGAAGCAAATAGTAATAATAAAGGAATTATCCTGGAATTACCAAAGGGATAGTTAAGCTGAAGATCTAGGATCAGAGATATAGAAACCAAGGTGCTACTGTACAGTTCACTGCAACCACATTTGCACAGTTCCACATGGGATAATGAAATTTAACTCTTTGACTGGCGCGAAGGGTATTTAAATCCCACCCCTGTCCTGGCAGGCCCTTTAAACCTTATGTCGCTAAAATGCATGTTGTTACTTTTTCCTAAACAACTTCAACAAAAATTGGTTTTTAAAAACGAAATTTTTAGGAACTAATTAAAATACAATATTTTATGCAATAAATGCTTTTCCACACCTCTTTATTTGTTTTTCTTCGTGTGATAAACATTGAAACATGAAAGTTTGCAGAGAGCCACACCACAGCCTGCACACATGATACTTGTTTCTTTTCTAACCTTGTAATTAGCACTCACGCGACACTTTCTCAGGGCACCATTCTTCTTATTGTTACTGTTAGGAACATGGACCATTTTGTGAATTTTCAAGCCACCCTCTAGACGATTTGCTGGCTCTTTCACTGGTGGTCTTTTCAAGGTCGAGGGCGGAGGCGTGACTGCACTCTAGTCTGACCCAATAGATTCGTCATCCACTTCATTCCTTGACTTTTCTCCCTCTCCACACTGTTTGTTTGGTTCAGTCATTTTTCTACACAGTCCAATATAAAATCTTTGAATCTGTAATTTCTCTTCTTGTATTTTTCGTTTGTTGTGTTCTTTTTGAATAGAATGAAACTATTCAACCGCAAAGACATGTTTTGTCCAAACCATGGGTGTGAAATATGGGCCTAGTGGACAAATATTCTTCAATTTCAGGGCGTTTGTCGATTCCTGTCATGAACACAATTCCTAAGTATGTCCAGATTTCATCTGATGTGACATAATTGTAATTGTGTTTTCGAGAGTGAGGAGCTAACTCATGTGCGTTGAAGTGCTGGTGAGCATAGCGATTGGTTTCAGTTGTGATGTGATTTACCAAGTCGTCATCCAGAAGAAATTTTAATCCATGAAAAGGGATGCATTTTATGTGTTATATCAATTTTGATCCCGAAACTATTAGCAAATGGAAGTATTGGGGGTACAATGTCTCCGTACGTTCATGAGATGGGCGTGTCAGGCACCGCACTCGTGGTAGGTAAATGTTCATGATTACTGTCTTGTGGATCATTGCCTATCACTGTATTATTGTCACTATCAACTTAATCCAATTCAGGAATCATTATTTCATCGCCACTATCATCATCAGAAAAAATCTCGTTCACAACATTTTCCAGCTGGTCTGTAGGAAAACGAAGACACTTGCTGCAAGAAGCTATGGTGAAACTGAATGAATGTGAAATATTTTCTGACCTTTACCTTCTCAGAGGGTTCTGACAGTAATATAGACCCCCACAAAGTTTACAAGGGTTCTTTACAAACATGCACAAAAACTATCATAAATATGTCTTTGGTTGATGAGTGCCAAGAGAGCAAAGAAGGGACGAGATTGTCAAAGCGTTAAAACACGCCAACGCCAGGGAACGGCTGGCATCGTCCGGGCGTTAAAACACGCTCGCGCCAGTCAAAGAGTTAATGAGCTCATTTTGAATTGGGTTATGTCAGTTGCTCAAAACCTTCCTTACTCTGTAACAAACCAAATGCTGGGTGAGAGATGAAGCCCACAACTTGAAAACTGTGGACATGATAATGCGCTGCCCAAACAAAACCATCTCACATCTCAAACGGTGGTAACACATGAGTATGATTCAGTGGTGGAATGATTAGCAGGGGAAAAACTTAAGAAAATCAGGAAAAACCTAGCTCCAGTCAATAGCGACTGAACCCAGGGCTCTGCGATGAGATGCCAATGCCAAACTGCCTCACCTATGGCATGCCTTATATGACTTCCTTATTACATATAAATTGCACTGTTTACTGAAGACCTCAAGGAGTCCTTCCCAGGGAATCACCCAGTTCAGTCTATTACACAGAACTACACTGGTTCACTCCAGGTTATTAACAGTGCATACAGCAAAAAACCATTAAGTATGCAGTTACTTCTATTTTGAATGGTTCATTTCAAGAAGTTGGTAGGAAAACACAAATGTTTTCTTTTAACAGTTACCAAGTTTGAGTAGTGATCATAATAATTATTAAAATCTCGTTGTTTGCAGCCCAAGATCCAGGTAGCCTCCAAATATGAACGTCGTGTAGACACAAGATCTTACGATGACAAGAAGAAGCTGTTTGAAGGGGTAAGTTAAAGTATGTTACATACATCTAGAGTACAGTACTGAGGAGAGCATACTGGTTATGTGAGATAACAGTCACAGCAAGCATAAACAGGACATTTTTTTTCTTTCAAAAGCCTATCATGTTTAACTGTTTAGTAACACCAGTGATTTTTAAATTTGTGGAAGTGTCAGTAAGATAATCCTTTCACACTCATGGCCACATTAAAATTCAGACCCTAACAATAACATGTTACTATTAAGTATATCAGACAGACACAGCATTTCATGTTTTGAAAGAAAATAGAGACAAAGTACAGCTCTAGAAAACCTAAAAGTGATCAACATATAAGTAAGTAATAGTCGATTCCTGTAATACTCAGGTAAAGCCCCATTGCACCATAGACAGTATAAAGATGAAATATAAACCACCATCTGCCATTGCTAGGATAACTACAAAGGAATAGTGATATATAAAAGGAATGGGAGGGATGGAGATAAAGGTATGAATGAGATAAAAGAATGGAAGGACAAGAAGTGAATGACAATAGGATGAAAAATAAAGGGGATGTTAAACAACACATGAGAAATGAGGGAAAGAAATAAAAATCATGAAAGAGGCAAAAGAATGGAAGAACAGGGACAAGAATGACAATATGATGAACAATAAAATTAATGTGAAAGAATACAGGAGAAATGAGGGAAGGAAATAAAGGTATGAAAGTGATAAAGGAAAGGAAGAAAGAAACGATTTTTCTTGTCATCTTTGATGGGTCATATATTAATTAAATTGTATTTCTTTGTGGGCTATTTTATGTTGCTATCAATAGCACTGAAGGGTAAAGTTATAGATAAATGATGGAGTGAAGAAGGAAGTGGTCTTGAAATAACTGAGGCACTATCCCAATATCTGACTTGAATGTTTGATTAAAACTACGAAAACCTCAGTCAGGACGGCTAGTTCTTTAGCTCTGTTTGGTTAAAAATGGCAGGTATGAGAAGGGTTATTGCAGCCAAAATGGTTTTGTCTCTACAAATGAGGACAGGGCTCTCTGAAAGGCCTTAGCAATATTGGGGGGAGTAGGGTATACGATGGACCTAGTACTGGTCTCAGTGTTTGGGGTGACTAGTAGTTGGCCCCACTATGTCAACACAGAATATAGGATAGCTGATGTACCAGCTGAGATTTGAACTGAGCTCCTCCCAAATATAAGTCTTGAGCATTACTGCTACACTAACATACTCTGTAGTTATATCATATTCCATAACCAAATCTTAAGTTTGAATATACAGTGTATCAATGCAGAAAACTAGTGGAAAGTCTTTCATGGACTACAAAAGAAAACATGTACACAATCTTCTAATACAGTTTATTGCTGTGTCTTAACTAACATTGATCTATATTATGCTCTCAGGGGCTAACAAATCTTATGAGGTCACGTTTCACTGTTGATAGCACTACAGAATTATCTGCGTTCTTAGACGTTCAGTTCCATACTTGTAACAAAATTTTGATCTTCTCATTGACACATACTCATCATGCATTGTCCATATCACAAACAGGTAAACAAATTGGTACAATAAATCTAATATACTCGTATCAGTCAAATGCTAGAAACTGTCACATCTCACAGAAGTCATAAATTAAAAATGAAGTAAGTTTTCATGAATCCCCTTATATAGCACATCTCTGACTCTCTCTGCCCATGATGGGAAAAATGCAGAAATAATAAAAAGATATGGATAATCCACATCTCAGGTATAAATGAGACACCATAATGATTGCTGCTGTGCACATAAGTGTATGCATAGCATCCGATCTGTTCTATTATTTCGAAAACTGTAACACTTATGAAAAAAATGTTTAACATAAAATGTTTCATTTTTCTCCATAACTTCTGTTCAAAATATATCCAACTTTGATAAATATTTAGTAAGTTATGCCCAAGATATGAACCGAAATGCCTGTAGGTCTTAAGTGTCAATTAAATTTTACACTTGTAATGAAAACTGGTATGGACTAACAATTTTCTGCAAAATTCTCGAATATCATATTTCATGAAAATCTGTCCAGTGGTTCTTGACTGACTGACAGACAGAATGAGTTGTCCTGATAGGAACAACACAGAGTTTTGAATGCTGTGCAAGGTGCGTGGAGATAAACCACAAACCAGACAAAACACGCACATAAAATTGGGAACATACTGCATATCTAAGCACAGCAATATACTGTACTGTTATTTTTGTGTGTTCATGTCTATTTTTAATGCTCTTATAACATTCTTTCTTGACTCTTCTCTATTTCCTTATATTCTCAGACAACTCTATTACTGGCCATTTAACCCTTTCACTCTCTCTACAGCTTTCTGTTGCAATGTCTTCAATTGAATCTGTGAAGACCTATATAGAGGTTCCTAACTGAAATAAGCATTACTATGCAAACTAAGAATAAAACTTGAATTTGAATGCATATGAATAAGGATTTCAGAGAAGACGTGAAAGAGAACCAAAGGATTCATAATTTACATATTTGAACTCAAGTATCCTCAGATGTGATGCTATTTAGTGTGGTAGATAGGGACCAACGTTTTGGAAGAACCAGCCACCGCCATCTTAATTGCAGATGAGGGAGGCAGCAGGTTTCTCTGAAACGTTGGCACCTATCTACTGAGCTATACAGTGTTACATCCCACAAAACCATAATCTTGATACTGTTGTGAGAACCTCAAATCTGAGGTATGAAACTTCTTCGAATGGTAAAGGAAGTAAAGAAATACAAATTAAATAGAACCAGAATAGCTTAGTGATGAGGCTATGGGCTAGGCTGAGGAGCATGGATTTGCTTCCCAGTGAGAGAGAGAGATTTCTCTCTTCTCCACAACCTTCAGACTGACTCTGGGGCTCACCCAGTGGGTACCAGGGGCTCTTTCTTTGGGGAAAGCAGTCAGGACATGAAGCTGACCAGTCACCAGGTGTGTAGTTATGCTCTCCCATACATCATCATGACATGGTGCTTAATTAAGTACAGGGACAACTTTATGTTTTTTATCTCTTATAAACTAATAGAACTGCACTGTAAAGTTACAACAAAGTAAAGAAGATGGAATGACTGAAACTGACATGATCCATGCAAGACTCCTGTGACACTGTGCTACATGGCAGCTCTGTGTGCTGATTTAACTGTGTTTGATGTCCTCACGCAGGGTTGGGCCACAATAAGTTCAGAGAGTAGTGAGAAAAATTGGAAATCCAAGTATGACTTGTTTACCAACAGAAGCAAGTGTAAGTAAGATCTTGTCAGAAAAAAGTCTACGTTCTCCACCCTAAACCATGAGAACATGTGCTTGACAATCATACTGTGTTCACCCTCCCATCAATCACCACAAGAGCGGAACAGTACGTGGTGGAGGTGTAACATTCTGCATTGGTTACACGTCTATTGTGTTGTTATTCTTTGTCATGTGTGTCCATGGTGTACACTGCTCACAGTTATCACACTTAGGCAACCAAAGCTTCATTTTCAGCCTTCTCTTATGCTTCTGACATCACTTCCATTCCATAATGGTTAACAGAAAAAAGAATCTAATCTTTTAGTTCTTACCAGCTCTTTATTCTCTTCCTGATGTCTTCCACTATCTGAGTATACCATCTAATTCTGGATTTTCCCATATGTCTCTTTCCTTTAAATTTTAATTCTAATGCCCTTCTCAATATCATTATTATTCCCATTCTCTCTACACTCTTTTTCATAAGATACACACATATAAATTTTCATTATTGCGGTTTTCTGTGTTAAGACACTGCTGCTTGGTAGTTATGTACCAGTGCTTATGTACACACTGCCATCATCTTCATGGTCATAACTCAGAACACCACAATATGAACTTTCACCAACACAACCCCCCTCCACCCAAAAAATGCACAATTTTTATTAATGTCACTGTCCAATTTGAGCATACTGGTTTGGTCCCATTCTTGGATCCCTGCCTTTCTACAGTGCCTTCCCAAAGCAGGGTTATCCTAGGACCTACATGCCCACTAGAGATGCCTCTTGAACTGAATGACTGTTGCTGTTTAAACTTTTCTGGCCATGTACTGCACTATTTGGTAATGGCAGATGTGCAGAGCCATGATAGACATGCAGTAGTACACTATTGTAATGGCTGATGTGCAGAGCCAAGATGGCCCATGCATAACACTGCTGTAATGGCAGATGTGCATAGTTAAGATGGCCATGCAGTATTAAACTGCTGTAATTGAAGATTTGCAGAGCCAAGATGGCCATGCATTACACTGCTGTAATTGCAGATGTGCACAGCCAAGATGGTCATGCATAACACTGGTGTAAAATGGCCTTGTGCATAGCCAAAATGGCCATGCATTACACTGCCGTAATGGCAGATGTGCGTGTCCAGATGGCCGAGCAATATACTAATGTACTTTGAAAAAATCTGACTGCAGGTACAAACAATATGATTGGTAATTAGGAGGGCTAATATTGGGCATCTCCTCTGCTGCTGACTGAGTGGTTGTCAAAAGATATGATAACTCTGACAGATGTACAAGATAATAAAACTAATAACACTAACAAATAATTAATTTTCTCCCACACTTTTCCATTTCCAGCTGAAAGGGTTTGGTTTGATTTAATATATCATGTGCCTGCTTGGTCTCCTCCTCTAGGGTTTAGAAGCTCAAACCAAAGAGTTTATCGAGCGACAGTGGACCGATAAGTCAAGTGAATTTGATTCACGCCAGAAATGTAAGTTTGTAAACACAATACTTCAAAATAATGAACACTCAGTTACACAGAAACTGTCATGTGGTAAACATTTCTCAGTGGCAGTTAAAAGTCAGTGATTTTGTTTTTAATAATTATTGATTTGTTTTATAGTAAACTGTATGATAAAGGTGTTGATTTTTATAACCATTATTTTGTGTTTTACAGCTTTACAGTTTAGTTTTACAGTTATATGTTAAGCTTAAATTTTTAATATGGAAAGAGGAATGTCAAACCATATCTGTGTGCCGATACCTATACATACTGCAATGACTACTTCGACACCACTGACCAAAATTTCTTTCCGCATTTGCACCAGGAAGAGATGATGAGAATTTGTAGACCCACAGCAACAATTTTGGTTTCGTCAAGTGGAAATAAATTTAGACAATAAAGAAAAGCTCCAAATAATAATTTTTTCTCAAAATTTAACTATTTAACTACATCATTAGATTTTTAAAAATATATTTATTTCTTTACCTGAGAATCAAAGCATTTACCAGCTGGAAGGAGAGATGAAGGAGAAGTGTAAATAAGGTTGACTAACTGATTACTAGTCCAGTAATGCAATGCATCATGGGTTGCCACGTTTTACTGGATCATGAAGGATTAAAGCTCAAGACTAATACAATGTACCACTGTGGCAGAAGGCCCTCATATAAAGAGCACAACTCACACAATTTATTCATACACAGAAGATGGGTCCACTCCTGAGGTATTTAATTACATGAAGAAAATAAGTTCCGAGCTCACTTAAAAAATCATAAGAGTTTAAAAAGATAAAAATTAATAGAGGCCAATAATTAGTCTGCATGGTGAGTTTTATTCCCAAGTTATTTATGGAGACCAGCAATGGCACACTATTGTGGAGAAGAAGTTCATTTTGTTTACCTAACCACCAGGCGACATGACCTCACTCCACCAACATCGAAACCCTCAGTGGACTCTCAAACATGAACTCATACTGACAAATACACACACACACACACACAGACAAACACCAATAAAATATTCAGCATTCCTTTCAAAACACTTCTCATATTCAGATTACTGTCAGATTTTCAAAACAGCAGTCACAAGCTATTTACATAAAATTAGAAATATGTGACATAGTGTATCCAACGTGACATACACAAAATGCATGAGTCTGTATGACAACACAACACCCACAAACAAATTTCAAGAACTGAGATGTCTGGCTGCCTTCAACTGCTCTAACACTCAGATTGTGAGTGTGAACCTCACTTTGGGAATAGATATATGCCCAATTTCAGTGCACATTTATTCTCAAAACACACAACCTATTTCCAAAATGAACCTAGTTAGAATATTTTATGCCTACACAGACTGTGCACACAATCAAAATGAAACACATATATTAAAGAAATTACAAATATTAAAGTTTTCAATTAAATCATACATTTACTCATATAATGTGAAAAAAAAAAGTATATCTGAAACAACTAATTTGATCTGTCTTAGTTACATGACATAACATGAAACCCAGGAAGCCAGACACACACAGATCTTTTCCAGCAGAAGCATGTGGCAAGTGACCACCTGCTTCTGCTGGTTTCTTCTTTGGCTTACTCTTCATCCATAAAGATGGAAGTGGTATTTCCCCCAAAATGCCGAGCTCTCTCCAGACTACATTGTGTTCCAAACCAGAGGACCAGAACTGGATTCTCTACATCCTACATGGATGGAATACAAGAAATGTTTCCATAGTCAATGCACAGTAATCTTTATTTCTTTTCTCTTTATTCTACAATGAAGTCCATCAAATGACTGACTCTTGGGAACCAGTAAGAAATATTTTTCACCCATTTTATGATTTTCTCTAATACTCTCTTAGCTACTTACAAATGTCTTAACAGAACTTACCAGTGCGCTCCATGAGACAGCAGCACTTTAAACCTCTGGTTTACGGCCTTGTATCCAAACATTCAGTAACTTAACCATAACTTAACTGGATCGTATATTGCAGCATGAATTTATTACGTTGAAGTTGTGTTCCCCCTAAGCTGAAACAAATATTTCTCACATTAACATATCCAAAGTTGTCTTATAGTTCTTAATTATTTGTGATTTTAGCCCTTCACAATGGTTCACTGCTGATGTTAATTCTGTTCTTGGGTCTTTGCCCAGACTAGGCACAACCCTCCTCCGCTCATCCTCCCAGTGAGTCTACTGGACAAAAAGCTACATAAACAGAACATTCACCCATCCTACTCAATTCAGCCATGTAGACAATGGCAGCACAGATCTTCAAATGTCAGTAACACTGCTCATTTCCACATAAGGCAAAGACCTAAGAGCAGAACCCAACATCAATTCTTAGTAGATCCTAAATGGTTCTGATGATAGCGTATAACACTCGGAATTACTTCAATTCTTAGTTATGTTAAGATGCAGAGTTTAAAATATGAAAAACTTTAAAATACTCTATTAATCCTAGGGCTGAATTATGTAACTGTATCAATATGTTCAAATTTATGACTACAGTAGTATATAGTAGCATCAGAAAACTCTTGGACAGAAGCAGATAGTCATACTATTGCTGGAAAGCTGGGATGTACACAACTTTATTGAGACAAGCATTTCTCCTGCATTTTGCAGAACTGCCCAACTAATGAGACTTGTCTTTGAGAACCCAGTGCACGGAAGGTTTCAAAATGGGGAAATAGATTCTTCTGTAACTGGTAACATTGGTGACTGAAACATTTCAGAAGGTACAAATGATATCTCAGTCCAAGATGTCCAAGTGAATTGAACAATTTTTAACAACTGCGGTCACCTAAAAGATGTGATGAAGGTCCAAAGATTGCATTACTCTAAGGTCATGCAAGATACCTTGCAGAAATGTTGTGAACACCAGCAGAAGTCAGGGGCTTCTGAAAGTATCTGTGCCCAAGTGCTTCTAAATATCAGATATGGCTCCTGTCCCACAACTGTCTGAAGCTATTGCTGATACTTTATGACTGAAAGTCTGTTGATAAGTTAATGTATGAGAGAAGAAAAATGTCCATTCAACATAATCAGAAGTACAAATTATAAATTCAAAGGGGAATTATTCAGGAAAGGGATATGTTTTCAATATATCAGATAGCATGCTACATATTATATGAGCCAAATCTTATGTTTGTGATGATGGTTGTTACAATAAACATGACTATTAATTTGGACATTAACCACAACTTTGAGTATTTTAAAATAAAATGTTTTGGAGACTGTTATCTGTTTCTGTCACCAGGATGAAAAAATATTCCTGCTCAGTTGGTTCCATTTGAAAGCATTCTTCTTGATTGATGGATGCCAGTGGGTAGTGTCAAAAATAAGTCATGTTTATAGTAACCATCTTATGGAACTACCCTTCATATATGTGTGTGTGTTCAGCCAAGCTGCCCAAGTGGTTTGGTGAGCGACCTGGAAAGAAGAAGGGTGATCCTGAGAGCCCTGAGGAAGAGGAAGTGAAGGCTGATGTGGGCGTTGATGAAGACCTTGAGGAACCTACTTTTGAACCTGAGCCTGAGCCAGAGGAGGAGGAGGCTGCTGAGGAAGAGGTTGAGGAAGAAGAAGAGGAGGAGGAAGAGGAAGAAGAGGAAGAGGAAGAAGAAGAAGAGGAATAAATATGAAACAGGTGAAGAAACTATGCAGAAATCCTGTTGAGAGACATAAGTCTATTGGACTTCTGAACCTAACATATATCTCTCAGTGGAGCAGTTGACAGCAATATCTGTAACATGTAACGAAGCATAAGCTTCAAAGTGCTAACCAACTAACATGATATGGGAGGTCTGGCCTAATGTTCGGATACTAATTTTCTGGGGGGAAAGGTTAAAGTTCAAAAAACAGTTCATCAACTTTATCTGTTCCAGTTTCTTGTTAACATAGATAAGTTCAGGGACCATGCCACTGGTCAAAGTACCTTCCATGATGTTAGAAATTTGCACTGTTTTCACTTCTCATAAGTTTAGCATGCCGCAATATGGAAGAAAGCTATGTCGAAGATATATAAAAACGTCCAACTTACTGACAGTTTTCTGTCTGCTCTCTACTGTGGACCCGATAAAGAAGACCAAAAGATATTATGAAATTTACTCCATACTCTCTCCAATATGTATGGTAGCCATGGCTGTTAAAAGCAGTGTGTAAGTACTGTGGTAGAGTTTTTGGGTGCAATTCGAATCTTCATCCATATTCTTTTCCTTTTAATTATACATGCAGACTTAAATACCTTACCTTGAGTGTCATTCTTCTTTAAAATTTTGGCTATAGCATATTGTGATAGTGGTTAAAAAAAAAAAGGAGCAGCCTTATCTTCTCTTTTACAAGTATGTCAAAGATAATTCCATTTTGCCTGCAACCTGTCACCTTTCCAGCTACTCTGTGTCACACAAAGAGATAGCAATTGTATCTCTTAAGCTCAGAACAGAATTTATACCAATCTGCACTCTATTAATTTCATTCCAGATACTACATTACAGGACAAGAACTGAAAGTCCATCATCATGTCCAGCGTTCCTGAGAACAGGCACATTGGGACCTTACATTCTGAACTTAAAAGCTGATCCTCGTCTATGATGAAGACATGCAAGTACCAGCGATAAGAGAACACTTCATTGGATTCAAGTTATTTCAATTTCTCCAAATATAACCATTGACTCACAGAAGTAATTTCTTTTGGAAACAAACTGCAGTATAATATACTTTTATTAATCTAAAATGAAAGTATAATTGTTCTGAATGATCGCTCGTTATGTATCATTGGTTTCTGATTAAATCTCTAACTGAAGCCAACGACGTACATGTGATGTCCACCATGTTACATACCACTCAATGATAAATCCTCTGTTTGGCGCTGATGGCTTGACTAGCAATCCAGTACAGTCTGTGGTTGGGCGCCAACTTCAACCCAGCCAGTTGGGGCTCAGTTACATCATACCTGGGTTACAATTTAGGACATCAGCAAATCTGAATCACTTTCTCTGTCCTGCATCTGTTGTGTTGTGTGGAGATGTTCTGAGAATGTAATTCTTTCTTTTATTTACTGTCCAATTTTTGCTAATCTCTTCTTCCTGAAAGGAAAGATCACTCATATAGTGAATGACAGAATATTTTGTGTATGGTGTATCAGGTCTTTTGCTCATACCCATATTAGGTTAATACTTCTACATTATATATATTGTGAATAAAATCTGATAATTACATAACATTATTATTCCTTTAGAACGTCTTGAACTAAAAGATGTCTTATATTAACGAAGCAAACACTAAAACAAAATGGAATCTATCTTATTTGTGATATTTCCTTACCCATTATTTTACTGGCCATTAAATCAGAAGCAACCATTAAAACAATGGAGATCTGAGGTCATCAGAGTGGTGAACATTAAGATTACAGTGTTCTGGATTGTGAGGCAGTGTAGTCTGTGTATACAGAATGGGCCATGAAATGGTGACACATAAGTTTATTGTTTAAATATAACAATTTTATTAAAACTGATTACAATTACAAATTATTTACTCATTAAAAACTTATTCAACTGCCAAGTTTTTCCTCTCATTCCAAACAACATGCCAGGTTAGAAACAACTGTCCAAAAAAAGCCTCATTAATGGACTTGCACCATGATTCCGTTTCTGAGCTGTGATCTGTTTGTGTGGCTAAATTAAGGCTGCAAGATGGCCATGGATGCCTGTAATTGTGCACTTGAGGAACTGTGTGTGAAATTATACAGTCCAAAAGTGTCTCGTGTAGGAAGTTTAAGGCAGTCCTGGAAATGTGGGACATGATCTCATCCCCCCATCAATAATTGTGTGTGTTTCACTTTTAAACCCTTTCACCACAGGGGAAGCAGTCATTTCTTATAACAAGAATCTGTTCTGAGCTCATTGTACCTTAAAGAAACATGGGATCGCTCAGCCCATGACTTGAGAGAGTATGCTACACATCTTCACCGTGAAGTTCTAATTCTGGCAAGTGGTGAAATTTTTCTGGAGCCTTACCTCCACAATTTTGTTTACCCATAATGGTGAAGTTACCTCTGTATATAACTATGTAATTAAGCACCATGGTATGAAGGTGTATATGGGAGTGGAGGTATAGCTCCACCATTCTTGACCTCAGCATTAGATGAGGTATGTGGTCACCTTCACACCCCAGCCCCTGTACCCATTGGATAGGAAGAAGCTGGGTGGGTCCCAGAGCCAGTCTGTACACTATGAACAAGAAGAAAATCCATTGTCCCTGCTGGGAATCAAACCCCAGTCCAGCCCATAACCTAGTCACTATACCAACTGTTTACAATGTTTAAATAGGCCTTTGAACATCTCTGCAATAGGGTGACATTTTTCAGCCCTGCATAAAACACCACAACTTCATTCTGTTGTTTTTATAGTCAGAAGATTTATCGCCCGTATCATGTGCTCTTTAACGATGCTTTCCTATATTCAGATCATACAGTGTAAGGCAATAGGAAGATAGATGAATTGGAAGGGATTTGGAAGGAAGTGGTAATGGCCTAGTCAAGGTACTAACCTGGCATTTGCCTAGAGACACTAAGGAAAGTCATGAACCACCTCAGTCAAGATAAGAGGTAAGGTCTGAAATTCAAACTGAGCACCTCCCAAATACAAGACAAAATAAAGTGTTATCTAAACAACCTGTTTGGTCTTAACACTCAAGTCAAAAAATGTTCACCAATGATTTTCCAAACAGTAACATGCCATTTTCTACCTCATTCTTCAGCGTGCATCTAAGCAACAAAAAATGAATAGGTGTCATCATTTTGTGGCCCATTTGTAGGTTCATTGCCACTTTTACCTGGAAGAGGCACCAAGTTTCTGCAAAACGTTGGTGTACTTACCTACAACACACAGCATCATCTCAGAAGAATGTAACCTTAGTCAGGGTAATTTTGTGTCATAACACATTCCAGCTCTCTCATGCAGCAAATCTACTTGACAGCACACATCATCTTCATTCTGAAAAAGGAATCTGAGAGCTGTGTGTGTTAAGTATCAAAATCTGCAGTCTAAATTGTCATAAATTAAATTTAATGACTCACATCTATGTGCAGATATATAAAATTGTCAAGTGAATTTCAATTGAACTGTAAAATACTCTCAAACATTTACAAAAAAAAATATTTAGTGAAGTTTTATAAATTTCACTATGGCAGCTATTTCTTCAAGTATATTATTACTTCCTCTGTCTGGTGTTCCTCACACCATGGGGGATCTCCCATTCCTGCACCCAACTTCGTTGTGTACATCATCTTCAAAAGCTGCACTCTAAATCTTTGATTACAAATCATAACTTGTGATCTGATGTTCTCAAGGCAGTGACTATGAAGATAAATAACTATATCCTGGAATGTGACACCATATAGTCTGATGATGGTATATTAATACAATTGTTGTGTTTTGGGGCATTATCCAAAAACACAATTGCATTGTACATTCTACCAGACTACACATTGTCACATCCCAGAAGCTGGTACTCCTGCTAGCAACACCAAAATACTGCTTTATTTTTGGATCTCATTGGTGCAGTCATTTCTCATTGTTCTCAAGAGTTAGTCAAATGCCTTTCCCATTGAAACAAATAGTTATAAGCCGATATACATTTTGTGTACAGATTTCCTGATGGAAATGGTACAACCACTGCAACAGAAAGTAGCAGCCCTCTCAAATCACAGAGTTCCACACTGATATACGCAGTAAACTCTTCAGCTGATAGTAAATGTTCACAGGAAGATATATTTAGAATTCAGTGCTACATCACACTAGTGCTGAACTTGATAATGGTGTTGAAATGAACTTACAGGACATTTCTACTCGAAATGATTTGCTGAATACACTCCCCATGTCTGGTCATTATATGCTGGGGCATCGAACATCCAAACCCAGTTAGGAATTGCTTTTATTCAAGACTGATGATTTACCTAAATCTGTATCAGTGTGTGGACTTCTCAATAATATTATCACCCACACTGAATCTTGTTTAATGTTCCTATAAGAATCACATTCACTATGCATATTGCAGAGTTACAATATGCTCCTAGTGGAACAGAAGAATCAAGAAACACAGAGAGTTTAAGTTTGCTATTAGCTTAGCATATAAACAATAAAAGATAAATACCTATTTTACCTACAATTAACGTATCACTATTTAATGTGAATTATTGTCAATTAAAATTAGAATTGGTTTATAATCCCAATTTATGTTTTTACACCTTCATTTTACTTAACACCTAAACATGATTTAGTGTAAGATTTGAGGTTCTAATAGCAGTGAGTATTAACATTACAGTCTTTTGGGATAAGATGCCATATATCATTGTTTTTGGGGTACACATTGTCTTCACCTCCAGGGTAGAAGGATAAGCTAATACGGAGAGGCAAGACTGGATGCTATGAGTAAACCAATAAGAGCCAGCCATTAATGAAATAGCTCTTCTGTTATGGCAGTTGCCAACAGAGAAAATTTTAGCAGCACAGTAAAAAGGAATGTGGGTAAAGAAAAAGGGGAAAAAAATACCCATGAACATGAATACATGAATGAAGAAAGCTATGCAATGTAGTTCTGTATGGATGTGAAACTTGGTCTCTGACATTAAGGGAAG